CAGCCTGACCTCACAATCAGACAGCAGACTAGCAGGAAAGGGAAGCAGTACATGCGAAGTTTCTCTAGTAGCTGTACACCAGACAGGTTTGGCTAGCTGGATGACGTCATGCTAATAACGTATTTAGCTTTTTAAAACAACGGGGACAGATCCAGCATGCACAGTTAGGGAGTGAGGGATGAGGAGGTAAGGAAACATGAGAACACCAGGACATACATGGAGAACTCTGTCAAGCCACATATTAGGCAAAGTGAACATCTTTTCTTGTACATAGTTGTCCTCAGTCTCATCTGCTTAACTTGGTCATGGAGGCATCAACATTTAATTGAGATGGTAAATTAACAGTGAAAACTCATCATAGCTTAATATAACATCAGTATTCCTAATTACACTTCATGTTTACTTCTCCTGATCTTTACCTCCTATAACAAGGTCCATAGGGGCATCTCAATACATAAACATGTTATATTATATTATATATATATATATATATGTGTGTGTGTTTTATATTATACTGAATATTATTATATATTATATATATTATATTATACTGAATTCCCTGTGAGGGTGACTAGAATAAGATGTCCTGACGTGTTTGTCAAAGTGTTATTTACTGCTTTTTTTCATGTTGGAATAAATGTTAAATATTTAACTGCAAAGTAGTAATGCGTGTTTGATACCTTTTATTTGTTTGCATTAAATCATTCTGGGATGTTTGCTGAAATTGATTGGATGTGGCACAGCCCATCTAGAACATGTTCCACCAGCCACCACTGCCTGAAAGTTAAAGCAGGAAGTCGTTCTTTAAACTGTGATGGATGTTCACAGGACAGTTGGTAATCATTTTATTCTCCATCATGTGTAAATAAATGAGTCTAACCTGGAGGGGTCACATCCTGTCTCCTCCTACCGCTTGTGTTTCTTACCCCATCAGACTTCTTTTTCACTGCATTACGTAAAGCTCTGAAATTGTAGAGTGCAGCGTTATTTCAATGTGACAGTAACGTTCATGAACCACAGCTACGAGACCATAGCTGTGGTTACACAAACAATATTTCTTCTACCCGATTGAAATCGTTCTGATTAGAAAATTCCAACTTTACTATTTATAATGAGGTGCCCATAAGATGCCCTAAAACATTTAATCCGAATAAATTCTTTTGACTTGTGCAAAGTGGTTCCGCCCACTGTGAAGCTTTTTATCCGCCGGATATATAACAGAAGAAGAAGAAGGAGCCATTTTTTCCAACTTTACGAGAAAATTCAATAATTCAGTGCTTGGAGTATAGAAGAAGTGGTTAATATTGAAGTCATTGACTACGGTTGGTCCACTTGGCACACAAGAGCAGAAAGAATCTATTGATTTTATCCACAGAGAAACGATTGGACTGAGTATTTACATGGTAATCAGACAATAAGATTTTCCTATTGCACAGATTATCAACCAATCCAATTGAACACCAATCCAACCTGATTAAAGAACAGTCGCTTCCCATTGAGGTGGTTACTTTTTTATTCTGATTATTAGTGGAATATGAGGGTTATGTAAACGGGCCTAACGACATGTGGTTGAAAGCTCCCAACAAAACCTCATTGGTGGACTTTAACTTGAGATTGTTTTATTTTATTATATCTATATATATTCTGATATCTCTGCTCCTGCTGCATTGATTTGGATCTTTGTTTGAACCATTAATCATGAGTCCGACGAAACAGCAATGCTTCTTCAGTGGTTCTCTTTAAAGCCTGGATTTCATTGTCTAGTAGAATTGCCACCCAGAAGAGATTAAAGACAGAAGGCCTTGGTATTCTTTGGAATAAGGCACACAGAAGAACTACAGTTGCAATGAGCATTAAACACCATCGAGTCTTTTTAGTTCCGTCCTGAAAATGAAATGGATAATATTGTGGCATATTTCCTCTGTCAGGCGCCAGGACCAAAACAGTGGAGGACATTACAATTCATGAGAACAAGTAGGTGTCACTGGGGGCCTTTGTGAAGCAGCTGCAGCAAGTGACGAGTCGACATCAGCGTGATTCATTCCAGCCTGATAAAGCACCACAAAACAATGGCGTCTGACCAACAGTGAGAACAGGATGAGGAACCAAACTCCACACTGAGACTGACTCACAACACACTTTAGCTTTTTCTGCTTTTTCCGTTGCCTGCATGGCCACACCTGATGATCTGATTTGAACTCTGGTTTGTTCGCAACCACAGTTTAAAACCAACGTAACGAAGCGCCTCTTGTCTGACGGCAGCCGTCATCCTAGAGAGACATGCTCCATGTCGCCGCCTTAATTGCTGGAGAGAAAAACACGCCGGCAGCAAAATTGGCATCGTTAGAGTGGAGATAGAGCAGTTGTCACGCAGCAAACGTCAGCTCAGAGGGGAAATTAGTGGACATTGGGGCACAGCGTAGGCCTGTCCAGTGTCACTGTTATGTAAGAGGTGTCTTGGTGGCAACAAAGAGCCCCTTGTCTCTTTCTGTCCCATCCCTCTGCGCCGCCGGCCATCTGTGCTGAACCCCATCAACCTCCCGAACTCCATCTGTCCCCGTGTTTATCCTTGTCGTCTTTCTTTCGTTTTTTTCCCTCTCGCTCCGTGCTCATCACATCATGAATCAGCTGTTAGCAGCATCGAAGCTACTGACCTTGTGCTTCCTATGAGGAGGATAGATGACCCTGTGTGGTGTTTTCATGATCCTGGTACGCAGATGAAGACTGAAACCAAGGACACACACTTCAAATTCAGATTTTTCAAAATTAATAAATAACACACTTTTTAAGAAAAATTAGAACTCTCATCTGCACACTCAGGTTAAATAGAACTTGAACTAAATCTAAGAGAACATAACTTTAATGGAAACCTACTCTACACATCATGGGAGTACAGAAAACATCATGCAGCAATATAGGAATTGTAGAACTCACCATCTTGGACCCATAAAATCTAAAAGTCAGGATGTCACATTTGATCTATCTTCTTTCCACCAACATTATGGGGACTAAATCACAGGAGTACCCCTTTAAGAAGTACAAGAGTAAACTTACTTAAAGTATCTAACCTAAAAACCAGCCCAACTCTTTTCCAATAAAGGTAGCTAGCAGCACTAGCTCCAAAAGTTGCTAATCCTAGCGAAAAAGTTGCCAAGTCGACAACACAGACAGCCCGACCCTTCAAGCCTTCCTCCAAACCCACGCCTCCAAAATGATCTCATTTCTGTGATCAACATACATGGCTGCTGTTGGTACTCACAGCTGTTAACATAGCAGGTTGTGGAAAACTCGATTGACGAGCGAGCATTCAGGCCGGATGAATGATTGGTTTATTGGTTATTACAGTCCACGTATACCAGATATGTTTTTCCTTTTTTTTGGTCAGAGCCTTTTTTTTGTTGATTGCAGTCGGGATGTAATGAGACTTTCAACAAATATTGCAAAAAAGGTTTCTAAAATAAATGACCCACCTAGCTTTAAATGTCAGAAGGCATTTCTCACCACTGTCCTATTCCCAACCTCGCCACCCCTGAAAAAAATAATGGTTTTTTTTCTCCAATCGTTGCCTACTTGCTACATCCTGTCTCCCGTATAGCAGCTCGACTTCCCACCTCCTCACTCCCCTCTTTCTGTCGCTGTCTCTCGCGAGCATCATGAGTGGATGGGGATAGTTGTTGAAGTACACAATAGTTCTGGAGGCTGGCTCCACAGGTGATAAATCAAGTATAAGTAGTGGGTGTCCACACATGATTCAAAACTAAAGCAGAGGTGGAAGAAGTAACGTGACTCTGATTTTTTACTGTAGTAAAAGTAGTATGCCTAACAACACAAAGAATAATTGAAAGAACACTCTTATCAGGAGTTGGTAGGCAGGGTTAGGAAAGGTGCGCCATATCTCTGTGCCACAGCGAGAAAAGTGACGACAGAAAAAGTCACAAGAAGAACAGAAGAGACAGACTCAGCTGTGCAAGTCTCCTCCATTTGTATCACTTTTTGATTATTGTGAAAAACATCACGGTGTCCTCTGACGCAACCAGGGGGGGATGGTGGGGATGTCCGGCACTACTGATTGGCTAGGACAAAATAATAACGTCTTCCAAACAGAAAACGTGGACATAATCACCTGTGATAATTGGCACAAAGATATCTTTGTTTTGCAGACAGCTCACCAAGTAGGAGAGAGAAAGGAGAAAGAGGAGCCATGAAATTTAGAAAAATGGTGAGAAATGACTTGAGTGAGGCCAGGATATAAACTTACATAACAGTCTGTGCACCTCCTCTGTCAGGGTTGGATGTGACCTCTCACTTGCATAATGCACAGCAATGGAATAACTGGGCTTGTCCTGTCTATCAACCAGACCCACAATAATCTGCTGGTGCGACCTACATAAAATCACCCACGTGGACGTTCAAAGCTATAAATAGCCAAAGTGCAGTTACAATTAGCATTGTTTATTTGATGTGGTTGTGTCCTACACATTAGAGAAATGTCCTCAGAAGACGCTGTCTCATTAGTCAGGTGCCTGACTGTAGTTTGTGCGGTAACCAAACATTCTGTTGGTTGTCACTTTACATGCTTAGTGCTGATTACGTATAAACATTATTATTTAATAGCATGCTATTATATATAAGGAATTCAAACCGTCAACAGACCGGATTTGTTCCAATCCCTGAAGGGGCTTTTGTTTACCTCTTGTGGCCACGCAAATTATTAATTTGTCTCTCAGAAGGAAAGGCAGAATGTCATAATGCCAAAAGTGACCTTGACCTCCAGTTCTGCCGACGCGGAAGTATCTTAAAACTTGCATTCTCTTTGCTGGCCAGCAGGGGGCGACTCAGAGCGTATGAACTAGAATTGTGTTCATATATTTGCGGTCAAAATTGTTGATATATGTTGACAACTTTGAAGACATTTATTAGAATTATGTTGAATAATTTTTTTCTACACATTTTTGGTAAAATGAGCTTTGATGCTGACGTTGCCATTTTTTCTCTCACAGTGAAATCGGACAAGCAGGAGAAGACGGACATCATGTCCGGCAAGGCGGACAAGTTCGACAACTTTGACAAGAAAGAGAAGGACGAGCAGCAGAAGAAGGGCACCAGCCCGGACAAGAACCAGAAGTCTGAGAAGATCCTCAAAGACGAGGTGGAGAAGATGAACGCGGAGAAAAGCAACAAGGCCAACGAGAAGGCCGAGAAGGTGGACAAGCCGGAGAAGACCAACAAAGACGACAAGAAGGAGGAGGAGAAGAAGGAGGAGAAGGGGGGGAAAGGGACGGCCAAGTCTCTGGCAGGAGACGGCGGCAAGACCCTGCCGAGCCCCGACGGCAAGAGCAAGGTGGGTCACACTCGCACGCAGAGCACTGCTGTCCACACACGGTAACAGAAACAGCCCCATCACCCAGAGGTCACAGCATTCACCTCCGCCACAGCCGGTGTGTCCAACGACAGCCTGGTCAAGTGTCCTTGAGTAAGACACACAGACCCTCCCTGCCTGTTCACACACATAGAGGCGTCAGTGCACTGCTTCTGCTGCCTCTCATGGTCTCCTGTGTGCGTGTGTGTGCATGTGTGTGTCTTAAATTCACTCCTGAATTTTAAAAAGGCAAAATGTCCTTCTTTCAGTCGAATCACCACAATCAGAGGATTTGTTAAATAATTGTCCTTTCTTGTCAAGTTCTATTTTGCAAACACCAGAAGCAAACCATCTTGAAGAAATGGAATGCCAGAGAGTTCAAAATGGAGGAAGCTGTCACTGCCTATTAGCTGTGTTGCACCATCCACTTTCTTTAGTCAGGGCTGCAACAAACCTTTATTTTCATGATGGAATTATTGAAATGGAAATGCCAGACAACAGTTTAAAATGTCCATCGTAGTTTTATAAAGCTCGAGACGATGTCATCAAATGGCCCGTTTAGTTCGACCAACTAAGAATAACAGCGAATCCCAATAAATGACCAGCTGAATTGATGAAATAATGGATTCATTGATTATCAAAGTGGTTTCAGGTTATTCTCTCTTGATTGACACATCGATGGATTCATTGACTGAATCAGAGTATAAACTGCACCACCAAAGAGGCAAGCTTGTTTGCTTGTCCCGCTAACAAGCTTGCTAGCTGACAACTGGCTATGTGGGAGAGCTGTTTTCCCTTCTTCAATAACTCTGAATTGAATAAAATGATGTGCAACCCTCAGAACAAATGTTTGGATTGAGTTATAGTGCAGTACAGAGAAAATATACAGAAGCTTTGAGAGCTGTTGTGACTGGCTAGCGCTAGCATGTTCCCAGGCGGCTAGCGTGTAAGCAGTTAGCTCGCCCACTACAGTATTTCACTAGCTAGTCACAGCTAGATGTCACCTCGTCACCAAGCCCTCAGCACCGTTTGGTGAAGTTGCTCTGCCACTTTCTGTGCCATGAGTATGTGTTTGCAGGTGCTAAATATTGTTCATCATTTTATCTGAGACCTGATTTCCATATCATATGCTAATTTTGGACGGCCGCTCATTTCATCAGATTTGAGGCTTATAATTTTATAATTTACTACTCATGAGCTCTGAAAAGTGGCTTTACATTGCTAACTTTATGTCAGATTTTATTTTGTGATTGTCATATGGTTGCTAGCTTTGCTGCCATATCACGCTGTCATGGTAATCAGTGATTTCATCTCCGCTTTTTTCTTTCTCAATCTCTATCTGTCCTCCTTTTTCTTTCTTTCCCTCCCTCTGTTCTTTTTACCATGTTGTGGCTTCTTTTAATTCCATTATCACCAGCCTGAAGTGGGTTCAACTAAGCCAAACCCTACCAAATCCCGCCCATCCACCCTCTCCACCAATGGCGAGGCCAACTTGGCCAAACGCCCCTCCCCCACCACAGCCAATAAAAAAAGCCCTGTACCCAAGGCGACCACACCCACCGCCGCCAAGCGGCCACCGACGGCAACTGGCTCCGCCAAGGTGAGTAAAAACCACACGGGTCGATATGTTTCATGTTCCCTTTTAGTGAAAGTGCGGGTTTCTCGGTCTGTGTTCTCATCTGTCTTTGTGTTCTCGTGAAACATCACCACAATCCAAAGTCTCACTTAGCTCAGTCCAAATGCCCTGAAGTGTTAATCGAGGATACTTTGGGCGATGACTTTTGTGTTGTAAAATCCCAGCATGCATCTCTGGTTTCAAATTAACCAGAGGCAATGCCGGAGGTTACGAGTGTGTTTACCCTCATTTCGTCAACTGCGCTGTCACCAAATGTTTCGGTATGTTACTTTCAAATATGTTGGCGTTTTATTCAAATAAGATGCAGTCTAGACAAACAATCTATTCAGCTTGTACTCAGTTATAGTTGTTGTCTTAATTGTGTTCTTCTGTATGACAAGGTAGAATATCAAAATGTTTTATAAGCTATCTGTGATCCTCATAACCCCCATGTTACACAATTATTGTATACATGTGATCATGTTGATGGGCTAGAATTCTCATGTAATGCAGCCATCATATTAGTATAGCGCAGTACATAAATCAGCTGCTGGACCTGTTCCTCTAAAACTAAAGAAATCATGACTCAATAGTCGGAATACACAAGGCACAAGACTATTGTTAATTAGTGATCTGTCAGATAATCTGACCATCAGACCTCGGCGTCTGTACAGATGTTATTTCCAGAATCCTCACATCCTGTGTGCTAAAAGTTGTGTAGCACTTGATACCTCAATAATAAAATCAGGCATATTGGAGGCTAGACCTGCAGTCTACGAGAACCATCATGAATGTAAGCTGGATGTATTCAGCCACTCTGTCTGATAAAAGTGGACCTTATTCTGTAAAAAAAACAAGACTTCACAGTGATAAATCAGAAAAAAAAAATCAAAATCTCTCCAAATGGCCGTTTTCTATAACATGTAATGTTTTTAATCCAATATCGAAACCAATCAGCTCTTAGATCAGGAGAGAACCAGGGGTTTCCACAAAGGTAGGGTAAAGCGTCCCCCTGTTGAACCATTTTAAACTCTAGGACAGGAGGGCTTTAGTTCCTTTTGATTTAGACTTTTGATCTACATGTTTATTCTTAACATTAATCTCTTGCCTACTGTGGCTTTAGAAGCTCTTATGTGACCTGTGTGACCTCTGATATGAGTGACCATGCCACTGTCCCAGATGTCTTTACTGCAGTGACTGTATTAGGGTTGGAGGATTGTTTCTATTTTCATATCGTCCAATGGTGGTTACTCAAGCTCTTCAACAGGCTTCCCGATGGCCAGGGAGCGCTGGAGCCTTGAAATGGTCCAACCTTTAAGCTTTCCTATATATATATATATATATATATATATATATACACACACACATATACATATATATATATAATGTTTCAAATATTTCTTTCAAAAGTATGTTTGTGCTTCACACACAGCAAAATGTTCCGTTTAACATTATTACACAATCATATCTTTGATATCCGTTACTGTGAAAGATCCAAAACTAGGGCTGGAGGCTACCAAATAGTTCATTCATAATGTTGACTTTCAGATTATCTTTATTATTATTATTATTATTATTATTATTATTAATAATAATAATAATAAGAATAAGAAGAAGAAGAAGAAGAAGAAGAACTTATAGATCCTTCTTTCTCCTCTTCGCCTTCCTGTTCTCTGCTTCTGCCATGGTTGCAAGATTGACCTCTCATTACAGCGGAAAATAGGATAACATGGCCTTCGTGCACACAGTACTCACACAGACACATGGACGGACTCTCGCTCACTAACTGTTGTGTCGTCCGTTGTGATTTCCAGACTCCTGAAAATGAGAAACGCCCACCTGTGCCAAAGGTCGCGTCCACGCCCCGCAAGAACGGCTCCTCTGCGACGCCTGCAAGTAAAACTGCTGGTACGTGCAGAGCTTCATCATCTCTATTACAGCCAGTGTCTGACTGTGTGATATGAACGCTGTTGTCACAGACAGTATCTGCCCTCTGCTTTGGCTAGTTCATCGGGTTGAAAGTGCAAAGTGACCTCTCCAACGGGCCCTGAACTCTCTACGGCAGTTGTAAAAATGACTCACAGTGTGAACTGGCACCGCTCCAGGCAAAGGGGATAACTGAAATGCTAGCGTATGTTACGCTTTATGGGATTCTAGTGCTGGCTTTTGAAGACACCAGACTGGTATTTTTATCTGCACATCACAAGCAGTTTCTCACCTCTCCGAGAGAGGAAGCTGTGACTCAGTCAGAGCTATGCTAGTCAAACAGGCCCCCCTGCCTTTTATGCACTTCAGCTCAGCACCCTCAGGGAATGTGATTCGTTCACCCGCTTTCATTTGTGCTGCATGAGTGAACTCTGTTACCTGCGTGGCCGTTGCCCCGGTGGCAGCAGTTTAGTCAGGTTCCATAATGCGCCTGCCACGTAACGGCCACGTTACCTACAGCACAACCTCATTAACATGATGGACAAGCTGTCGCTCCTTTATCGCTCAGACTGCAAGCAACACAATCTTCAAGTCAGTACAGTTGATCAGTTGACAACTACTATGTGAGCCAAAGGATTTAGTTGGGCAGGAAACCTTGACAAGGCAAGACTTTGGATTGTCAGCCATCGACACCTGCAGCGTGCATTTAAATAATCTATTAATGAAACTAAGAATACATTCATACATTTGTTACAAATGTATAGCATTCATTTGGAATTGTGTGTTCGACCACCACAGAATAGTAGACTCTGTTTTGGTCCTTAGAAAAACATCTGGCTCTTTCGCTGCGTAATGTTCGTTTCTTCACCAGTTAATCTCGAGCTTTGTCTGTCTGCTGATAAGTGAGTAAACTGTAAGGGTGATACACCTGGTAAGTACATTTTTAGTCAACCCAGGTTGCAGTGTAGCTACGTGAGAACTACTTTAGATCCTGATATAGTAGATTGTGGAGTGTGTAGGTATTTGGTAAAGAGTGCCAGTGTCATGTGTCACTGCGCTGTGTTTCCTGCTTACAGCAAACAAGAATGACAAGACTGACAACAAGACGGGAGAGAACAAGAAACCCAAGACTACAGGTAAGAAAACCAGAAGAAAGAGAGTTCAGGAATACAATTTCTAAATGTCACAAGAATAAAATAAAGATTGTAGATAGAAATGTGTTCATGGTAGAGTCAAAGCTGCTTCAAGCAGCTCAAAGCTGGGCAGACAGAACCTGTGACTGTTCACACATACGGATCCAGACCATCTTCCCCTTAAAAACACACTCTGTACAGTGTGTTGCTGAGTGCGTAACATACTTAACTTACTAGCTTATTTAACTTATTTTACGAAGTGAAATGGTTACGTACATAACCTATGTTGCATAACAAACGTAGTTTATTGATCTTTTCCTAAACCTAACCATGTAATTAGTGACCTTTTCACAGCGTGCTCCTGTCGCTGGGTCTCTCCAACAGACACATATACTGTACGTTTAGGTACGAGGACGAGTTGTTCGGATCGATTGACTGGTCCCAATGTAAAAGAGATGAAAAGAAGAAAAAAGCGTTATCTGTAGGAAAGTAAGAAAACGTCACAGAGATTCAGACGATGTGGTCTGTCTGTTCTGCAGCCAAGTGTAGTTTTATGTTGCAGCAGTCTTTAGACTACCGCTTTATCCACAATGTGTGAAGTAAAACAGGCTCCCGACAGTTGATAACAGATCAACAGCAGCCGTCCTCAAACAGCACATCAGATGACAGGCGAGCTGGCAAAAACTTAATTTGCTCAATCAGTGTCTGCCCAGCTTTATGATAAAAATAGAAATACACTTTTTGTACAAGAGATATGGCTCAAAGTGCTTTACAAAAAATATATATAATTGCCACACCTTTCAACAAGGGCAAATTCACAATAGAATGAAACCATAAAAAAACTTAGAAAGAAGTAGAAGTAAAACACAAAACCATTAAGAGTAATACAAATGAAAGAATGAAGAAAGAATGAAATGAAAAAAAAATTATAATAATCAAATATTGGTTTTCAGCTGTTGATCAGAAATGTTCTCAGAGCCATTATCTTTTGGAAGGATATTCCAGCATAGCATAGCTGAAATAAGTGTGCACTGCCCATCTTCTTGTGTGTGTATCTGTGTGCATTTACAAACCCAGCAGTGGAGGATCTGAGTGCCCGTGAAGGATTATAAAACAACAATGATTCTGCAATGTAAGCCGGTCACAAACCATTAAAGCCCTTAGTTGTGTTCTCAAAGATACTGGAGCCAATGGAGTGGAGCGTCACTCGGGGAAATGTGCTCTCTCTTCCTTGTGTTGTTTGAACATCTCGCAGCACAAGTGGAGTTCTTTCAATTTGACTGTTTGACGAGACCAATAAAAAGAACACTCCAATGATGTGATCTATTTCAAACTGAAGTGTGAATGAGATTCCAGCATCTTTATAGGAACAATGTGGGATTCTTACTGCCCCATTGTACAAATATCCACTTCACTGCTCATTGATGTGTTGCATTGCATTAAAGCATATGTTGATCAATACTAAGACCACAGGCTCCTCTTCTCTTCCTGCAGCTCGTCCTCGCCCGGCCTCCACCATCACTCCTGCCGCCTCCACTAATGGCGAAGCCTCTCACCGCCGCCGCGTCATCACTAAGCCCCCCGTGCCCAAGCAGACCCCGATGGAGAAGAAGCCGCCGGTGCCCCGTGCTCCTCGAAGCCCCCGACCCATCAACGCTCCTACACCCGACCTGAAGAACGTCCGCTCCAAGATCGGGTCAATCGACAACATCAAGTACCAGCCCGGTGGAGGAAAGGTAGGAAAAAAGCAGATGTACACAAGAAGAGTTAATGAATAGTAAACAGGGAATAAACGGTCACGGTTCCTGAGTAAATGTCTTGTATCAGGTTGGTTTGTACATCTGATCTTCTGAACCACTCTGACTATATGCATCAAAAGTGTCAGAAAACCTGTAGGTCATACAGAAACAGAGCAGTGGGCCTTTGGAGTCAGTAAAAATTGAAGATTTTGTCCGCATAAAATAAAAAAGTATCTTTCAGTATAAATAATTGCCCGTGGCTGTATCTGTACAGGTAAAGGACAGTATAGGGCTGTAACTACACTATCAGTGAACAACTGCCTCAAATTTGAAGAAGATTGGACAAAGTATGGCCATTCTACAGTGTTTCTTCCATGAAGAGATCCAGGCGGAGCTCTAAAAGGATATTTGAAGACCCAAATGGACACATGGTAACCAAATGATATTCTGACACACTAAAGGTGTTTCTCCCTTTATATTTTGATATTATATTATTTTCCTTTTATTTTTAGCCTTTGCAAATTGCAAAAACTATGTATATATCGTCAAAGACATGGTGTGTGAGTAGCGGACTTGCTGTGCGTAATGGCTGCGACCGAGCGCACGATCGAGTATGCGAGTAACTCAGTTACGCAAGGTTATACTTTGGTGGACGGCTTATAGAAGTGGGAGATAAGGTTTGTACTATAAGGACTAGCGTTTTCTGAAGCCACTAGCTCCATGGTAACATCCGCTAGCACATTGTCGGGTCTGTAATGTGTCTTTTTCCGTTGAAATGCTGCAAGATCCGACTTGCAGCGGTTATGGCGAATTTGGACGGTGTGTGTTTGGGCTCCTTTTGTGAAATATCCATAAGAAATGAAAGAAAATCGATGATTTCTTTGCAAAGATGAGGATTTTGGGCATGCTGGGATACCTAACACAGCCATGTTTTGTGACGTAGATTGCGCAAGCAAGCTGTAGGAACGGAAGGGGAGGGGATCGAGGACGCCGGTGTCCTCGCGGAGTTGAACAGGCAAAACCCTTGTCAAATAAATGAGATGATACAATGTGATGATCACAAAGACATTTATTTATCATGTGTATGTAAACCTGCATACACAATCGTTTCTAGTTAAAGGGATACTTTGCATTTTTGTAAAGTATTACTACAGTAGATGGACTTTGTAGAAACAGACAGGAGCACCAGCACGGGAGCAAAGAGATGTACTGCTGTGGACACCTAAAATAATCAATAGCAGTTTAAGTGTATGCTGTATTTAGAATATTTTCACCTCTTTGACTTGCTGTCAGCCATTTTACCTCACAGAACACTAAAGCTGCTGGTCTACCGCTGCCTCCATCTGTTAGTTTCTATTCACCAAATCACACAAGGATGTATTCTAAATATATTAGACACGATCGCACTGGGCCAGTTAAAGTGAGATCAGTTCAGAGAAGGAGCCGCAGTTGCCTCCCCTAATTGTCTGTGTGAAATTGGCCTGACCTCGTGTTTTCCTTCACTCAACAGGGAAATCTTGTCTCTGGTTGTCGGCATCAAACTGTAATATATTTGTGGGCACCATTCACTCTATTTCAGGCAGGTGTGCTGTGTTTTGCAGGAGCAGGTCCGTCCCTTGTCGTACCTTCCTCTTCAAACGCAGGCTCCCACTCTTTTTGTCAGTTTTGTCAGAGCAAAGTCACTTTCACACACACACAAAACGCGTTGCCGCCATGCATCACAATCAGTGGCGCTGACTCACTCAGTCTCCAGTGAGACTAATATTGGTTTGTCTGATATGTATTTTAATATGTCCCATTCAACAGGAGCTTAGTGGTCTGACAACCTTTTCATCCCCAGTAATGAAATCATTTGTCTGGTGTTGTTTTCTGCTCGTGTAATTATTCTGACTCTCTTTTGTTTGTGCTGAATATTTGAGGCTAGCTCACAAACTGTATCGTGTAATTCATTGTCACGTTCACTGCCACTGGCCGTTATCGACTTGAAAGAGAGCATCTGATTGGCAGCTCTACACATACTTGTATGTGTATGTATTTTCCTCCCATTTGATTGGCCCATAATTACTACTTACGTGTAATTGGTGGTAGTAATGATTCATACACCCACACATTTAGCCAAGTGAATTTGATCTTTTTGATCCATGCTGTTATTCTCCATACAATCACGTGCCTCCCTTTTGATTGGCCGTAATGATTAATCTGATTGGTCCAGCTGCTAACCCGTCAGTTCCCTTGTCCGCGCCCCTCCACCTGCTCTCCCACTGCTTTGTGTTTTGGCGTGTGGTTGCTTGGAGGTTGTATTGACCAGGTGGGGTGTTGTTGTCTTTTCCAGGTCTCCTCCACCCCGAACAACAAGGCATCAGACCCCGCCACCCCCGCCGCCAAGGCCAGAGTGAGTCCCTACCATCTGCACCCTCACAACTCTCACACACACACTCACCACATGCACCATCCACACCCTCGCTGATTATACCTGTTAACGCCACATGAAGAGCTAAGTAAATATCAGTTGTTTCATTATGAACATTATTACCAAACAAAAGCTTTCTTAAAAGCGGCATCACTGTTCATATGACTGTGGGTATTATTCTGTGTAACCTTAGTTTAAAGCAGGGGTCACCAACCTTTTTTAAACTGAGAGCTACTTCAAGGGTACCGAGTAGTACGAAGGGCTACTTATTTGATACAAACTTCCTGAATAACAAAGTTGCACAGATCACCTTTTAATAATAATAATATATGTGAAGAGACTGTTTGATCACATGTCAGTTAATTATTCCTCACAATAATTATTAAGAATGATTTCCACAACAATGATGGTATAGCTACACATACATATTTAAACATGCAACTTTTATTTCTGTTAATCTGTTTCAACATTTGAAAGTCAGAGGTATCACATCTGATATTTTTGTATCATCACATGATTAAAGCCGGTTACTTTTGCACATAGCGCCTGCTGATGAATGATCCAGTGGTAATGTAGAAATTTTGGGAAGTCTGGGTCACCTTTACATTGCGCAATGAAGCCTGCATGCCGGCCCGTCATCGCGGGATCACCGTCTGTTGTCACCGACACCAGCTTTTCCAACGGTACCTTTTTTCTCCACGAAGAAACTAGTAACCAGTCTCGTCTATAGCCTGGCGGGGGATCCAACCCTCCGAGGCGCGCGAGCGTCTTCGGGCGTCCGCGTTCAAACCTCTAGTATGGGCCTTTTCGGTCGGATTGCGTTGCCTCGCCTCTACCCCCGCCACCCATGAGTTGTTGCCCCGCGGCCTGTTCCGAGGATTTGCAGACCTGACGACGGGGTGCGCTCGCGGCGCGCGTCTGGCGCCAACGGGAAGCGCCTGCGATTCGGAACCTGAAAACCTAGTGCGACGGCCTCGTCCTGGCTGTCCGCCGTGCGCCTCCGGGTACCCAACTCTCTTATGACAAGAAATATTGTCATTTTAAAATCTACACTAATGCAAACGTTTTTGATTAAAAAAAGAACAGCAACTACAATTTTAGACGGAGCTCCAATGGTGACTAGTGCTATTTTTAGAACATGTCTCGCGGGCGACTCACGTGGTCCCTGCGGGCGACAGGGTGCCCGCGGGCACCGTGTTGGCTACCTCTGGTTTAAAGGGACAGTGTGTAGGATTTAGTGGCATCTCGTGGTGAGGCTGCAGACTGCAACCAACTGAATACACCTGCGCTCACTCCTCCCTTTCCAAGTGTGTCGGAGAACTACCATGAAAGGTTATGAATATTATATTCCATTTCTGCTAATAGAGTCCCCAAAATCCTACACACTGGTCCTTTAATACATTCATGAACAAAAGCAAGAAAACACAAACATGTCTTCTAGCAAGAGACTGTGCTCTTACCTTGTGATAAAACATTAAAATGTTCTTACAAATCTGTTTCATGTGAGGAGAAAATAAAGATTCAAAGTAACCAAACCGTGCCAGTAAATATTAGCTGAACATGGCACTTTAATACCAACGATATATGCATGTTCCTGGTTTTTTACAAGCCCCTTAAAATCTATTTGCCGTACGAGGAGCATCAGTCAGTGTCTATCTTGAACATTAAAACCATATCAAATGAAATGAGTTTGATAGCAGCAGTGTCACGAGGCCTAGGTAATTGGTTCTGGCAGCTCCTAATACCATTCTGCTTTTATTGCACCTTATGGCACCCAGAGACACTCACCTACACAGAGACACCGTCCCGTCATACATTAGAAGCTTTTTTGCGGATGGGATGCCAGTGAGGGATCATTACCTTGTCAAAAACAAGTTGTTGCTTCCATAAACTCTGATGCGGCTTTGCAGCTTAGCCCTACCGCTCCTCTTGTACTTGTAAAGTGTCTCTTTTTCCACAGCAGATTTCGGTATCATAGAGACTCAATCAGAACTCAACGACTTATTTTCATTCACACTTTCATTTAAATTTATATACGTTAAATACATTTGTCTAACTTCCCCAGTATCGTCATTTACACATCCCTATATTTCAACACTTTCCAAAGGACACCCCAGCGGGGAATGATGACCCATTTTACTAAATGAAACTGATTGAAGCAGCAGCTGTGAGAAGATAAGGTAGAACTTTATGTCAATCCCCAGGGAAAGTGCAGCAGTTGCAGAAGAAGTCCAAGTATAAAGTGCTAATATGAAATAAATCCAGAATATATACAATGCCAAAAAATATGGGTAACAGGGATGGGGAGTAACATATGTATGTATGTATAATATCAAATCTGAAGAACAGGTAAGTGTGTAGGGTTCAGAATGTCCCTGATTATGTCCATGATATTGCACATTACGTCCCGTAAACCTGCTGTAATGATTGTAACCAGAGAGAAAGAGAGTCCCAGCTGAAACGTCTCTCTGCATGAGGCAGATGAGTTTGACTGGATTTCCTGTGGCGGTAACAGTTTAGGCTGAAGGTGCGTGAGCAGCACATGAAGTGGAGACCTTTGTGACTCTCGTGGAGAGGGTGAGAGTCACTGTCCATGATGCACAGCATCCTCCTCTCTAACACTGAAGAACCCAGCTCCACTCCCTGGACAGAGCCAGCCTTCCTGATTAGCTTGTTGGTTCTGTTAGAGAGTAGCACTGGCTACCACAGACTGGTAGAACGTCCTCAGCATGGTGTTGCAGAAAGTGTTGCAAAAAGTAGCTTGGTGCCCAGGTGAACTCCCAGGTACTTGTAGTCCTGCACAGTGTCTACCTCTGTCCCCCCGGATGGAAATCTGCCTGCTGAAGTGAACCACCAACTCTTCCGTCTTGCCAGTGTGACGCTGCAGGAGGTTCAGCTCACACGCTTAACAAAGGAGTCCGCTGCTCCCCTGTCCTCTGCCTCCTCCCCTTCACTGATGCAGCCCACAATTGCAGAGTCATGGGAGAAACTTCTGCAGGTTTCAAGGCTTGGATTTGTATCTGGAGTGTTCGAGGTGTAGAGGGTGAACAGGCATGTTGACAAACCGTGTTGCTCGCCACAGTGTCAGCCGTGCAGTCTAAACTAAATGCTAGCCCTAATGATGTCACTGTAAAACACACAAATGACTTCTACATGCCTTTTGCACCAGCCTAAATGCTCGTGCACGCGCCACTACAAACCCCCACAATTTAAGCTCGGGTTGGTTATCTTGAGATACTTGCAAGAGTACGCTAGATTTTTTAAATTATCCAAAAGAAAAACACAACCCAGTGTTGCCAAGTCTTTTCTTGTCCCTTCAGGCCTCCAATGACCAACATGAATGTAAAAAGCAAACATGGTTATTGTTAGTACTCACAGCTTTCAAGATAGCAGCTTGTGGAAGACTCTGGTGACGAGCAATGAGTGCATTGGCAGAATGTAGGAAGGTAGACAGGCAGGTAACCCGTCCAATCACTTCATACAGGCTGAACGAAATGATTGGACTTATTACAGACAATCAAAGATACCAGATATCTATCTTTGTCAGAGCATTTGACTTACTGACTGCTGTCAGGAAATAAAGAGAATTACGACAAAAACTGTTTTTGAAGATTACCAACCCTAGCTTTGAGTCATGAATGATGTCATACATTTGAAATATCATTGTTTACAGTCTAACTGGCTGTGTGTAGCTACGTAGATTGCTGGTCTGTGCATACATGAAGCCGAGCACTTTTTCTCTCAACTGCGTCCAAGACCAACCAATTGTCCACTGCACCCACTGCACAGGACGACACATCACTGGTTGCAGACGATGTGCACGATGTGCATGAGGAGTGCACAAAGCACATAGGCACAGAAGGTATCCTGAGAAGGACCTTATGAGTGAACTGGCCGGGTGTAGTCATCAGACGTGTGACACTCTATGAAATATGGTCACCTCTCCCTGGTTTACTTTCACTTCGTTCTGTTTCTTCACTTGCACAATAATAATATGGGGAAACATGTTCAGCATGCTGCTGCGTCCCCTTTTTGCATTAGCAACATTCCTCACTAAAATTGAGGAGACATTATAAACAAGAACCTAGGAGCTACAGGTGTGTGTGTGTGTGTGTGTGTGTGTGTGTGTGTGTGTGTGTGTGTGTGTGTGTGTGTGTGTGTGTGTGTGTGTGTGTGTGTGTGTGTGTGTGTGTGTGTGTGTGTGTGCGCGCAATCATGCGTTAAGTGCACGTGTGCTAACTGCTCAGTGAGTCATCCTTTGCTGGAGCCACCTGCGTCATCATGCCATTTTCATCCTGGAGAAAGAGACTGAGACAGAGACGGAGAGAATGGAGGAAGGCGTCTATAGTCTGCAGGTGTTTTTACGATACAACCACCGAGGCAAAGAAACCAATACCACAACACAATGGGGAGAGCTTATGTTAGTGTGGGAGAGGGGTGGGGCGAGTCCCTCTCAGTGGTAGAACAATACAAACAACTGACCATTGCATAAATGTGAGCTTATTTGATTCAAGCAATACATCAAGTTCCTGAGAAAATGAGCCATTCAAATAGCCATTGGGGAGGAGAATATAGGGACTAACATGTCCCTGGAAGGTTAATGGTTTCAATCCTGCATGCCGACACCTCATTGTCAGTAATGTTGAGTGTCAGTAAGCAACTATCATTATGTCAAAAGTGAGATCATGGATGATGCGTATTAAAGATGATAGTGGGGTGTCGTAGTCGTTTACTCCTTTTGTTGCGACTGAATCCAAAATTCTTCTCAAGTGGGATGCACCAAACTCCAAACCTCTTAACCTCTTGACTTTCACAGATCTTATGGTTTAATGTTTTTACACTCTAGTTTGGGCTGAAAATAGCATCAAATCAAGGAAAGTAGCTGTCAGCCTCAATGTGATCTCACCCTGTTATGAGATAGAATATTAAATATTATCATATTTTGCTGCTTGGGCAGAAGCACTCGCATGTCACTTTAATGACAGCATAGTATCTTGATACTGAAGGTTTGTGCGTTGTAAAGCATTCGCAGTTAACATTGCAACGTATGTTTAACACTGTGAAATGGTTGTGGTTAACGTTGTAATGCATGGTTAACATTGTGAAACGGTAGTTATGTTGTAGTTACTTAACAGCTCGGTGCGTCTCGTACTGTTCTGAAGGGTAGCTTGTGTGTCGGTAACACTTTCTGATTCACGCTTCAGATCTCTTGTTGTGAAAACAGACACCAATCCACATTTATCTCAAGTGCATCGGCACTGCTGAACTGCAAATCATCTTCATCCTACTGGCCACTTGATTTGTATTTATAAATATTAATGGTGTCCCTTTGAAACCTGAGATGCTGATTCATTTATATTGTGTTGTGTTTATACTTTTCTTGGATTTTCTGGCTCTTTTTGGTGTCGTTGTGATGCAACCCTTGCTGCAAAATCATTTACCCTGCTTTTAGATGTAAAGTTGAAAATCTAAGTATCAACAACATGGCGTTCAACACATCCCACATGAGCTATTTTGGTCATCACATAATACTTTGGTTAACCAATGGGTTGAACTCTCTAAATCCCTATGTATCGCTTTAAGGAAGTCCAGACAATCCTGGCCAACCCATCCATGCAACATGTAGTTTGTGCTTAAGTCATTCTTCATGGCAGATCAACAGGCTGATGGGTATTACGTAGAAGCAACATCTTTTGTCTTCCACAGTATTAGTCGCTTGCAGTCGCTTCTCTGCTTAGAACGGCATGCATTAACACAAAATCACTGACTGTCCCGTGTAATATTCTGTTGCATGTGCTCCGTCTCCCCTTCCACTGTCTGTCCTGTGCTCAGTTTTTGTTACTGATCATGGAAGCATCTGTTGTCATTCAGTCAGTAACCTCCATCTTTTGATACGTCAGCGTTGATTTTTGGTAGGAATTCACAAACCTTTCCTTTAAGAATCCGTCCCATCAGCTGCACCCTGTATTTCAACCCGTGATGTCCTTGCATTAGGTCCCTACACCATTTCTACAGTGCCATGTGCTGATAAATTTATCACATGCAGATAATCACCAAACTGGTGTGTAGGAGGGATCCTTTGATTTGAATGACAGAACCTCTTCCATACTTACAGAGCAAGGCCACTCTGTATCCTGTTAACTTATGCTGCCAGCTGATCTGCTCTTCTCTGCTGCTCTTGTCTGTCTGCCTTTCATGCCCTTCTTTCTTTCTTTCTTTCTTTCTTTCTTTCTCTCCCTTCTACCTCCTCACTTTCCTGCTTGTGTGTGTGTCTGCCTGCCTGTCTTTAGGTTCAGATAGTGCACAAAAAGCTGGACTTCAGCCATATCACGTCTCGCTGTGGCTCCAAGGACAATATCAAACATGTCCCTGGAGGTGGCAAAGTAAGTACTGCTAGAGCTGGAGGGAGACTCTGGTGAGGGTGGATGCGCATCACATTACGAGCTTATAGACCCTCAATTGCTCAAAAATTGTGATCAAATGAGGATGTACTTTTTTGATCCCAGCCACTAAAAAAGGAATTTCTGTTCCTAGTATGTAATGTTGGTTCACCATGGCTGGAAGCATGTTGTATCTCTTACACCCGATTGGGCTGTATTTACCCAGAAGCATCATTTTCAAAGCAACTAAGAATGATTGCACTATAATCAGCGCATTTGTGGCTCCTCTCTGTTTGCATTTTGGATTGATTTCACTCAAAGGGACCTGACCACAGGTCTCTCTGCCCACCCTTCCAGATGTTGCTCCCATCTGCTCCAAACACCTGCTGCACTATCATAGTCCGTCTCTGGGCTGCCCTCACAACCACCACTTTGCTGTCTCTCATCAATTAAACCAAATGCAAAAGGGTATACAGGAATCAGCTCATAGTGTCCAAGAATGTGACATCAAATACAACTAGAGGCCGGACCGATGTCACAATAATAGCAACTGTTAACAGTTTTAAAGCTGCAGTTGGTAACTTTAATGAAAATAACTTTTCATCATAATTGCTCAAACTCTCACTATATACTGACAGTAGTACACAACATAGATAATCTGTGAAAAAATCAGGTTCCTCTGCCTCCTCTTTGTGCTTCTAATGGCATTTACAAGATTCCACTGCCCGAAGGAAAACAACCAATCAGAGCCCAGGAGTCTCTAACGCAGCTGTTTCGTCCCTTTCCTCATGATCACCAATGCCTCTCAACCCTTTGTACTATTATGCCATGTTCACACCAAACGCGCCATTCGCGCCGCGTTCACTCGCCTGGGACCATTTGTGGTCATTCGCGTAACGCTCCGGAGAGGGGGCGTGGCTTATCGCCCTGGAAGCCGTTCAACTGTCCGCCATTTATTTCCGCCATCAACCATGGAAAAAATAACCTATTTCTGCTTAGTACGTGTTGTGGAAGTCCCAGAACTAAACACCGTCTTGTCTGGGTTCATAACTATTTTATCGAGCTGTATTCACTGTGTCTAACAAGCCACACGTCTGCTGTTTACTACAGCTGTATGAACACAAAACAAACTGATTTTGCTGTAGTTTAACTGCTATAAACCAATAAAAGGGATGCCGAAATAACTACGTAATGATGCCGATTTGTAAAAAGTCTGAATTCATGTTTTGTTAGTTCTCTCTGCAAGACGACAAGCAAATCACTTTTAAAATACTTGTTTTCTTAATGGAGCTCGGATCGATTGGTGCTAGGCTAAGCTAACATTGTAGCAGCTCCATCAACATTCAAAATAACGTCATCTCGGTGTAAATACGGCAGTGTCTTTTTTTTGTACCATATGGTTTACACACACATTTATACACACAGTTTGGTCCGGTCTCTACTAATATGAGGAATCGTAGAGCTCTGTGTGAACACAGATGGCTACAGTATTTATTTCAACAATGGCAGGACGTCAGTGGTGACAGGAGGAGTATCTCAACGCTGATGGGCTTCACGCGATTTTTCCACTGAAGTTGAAATATTTCTGTGCCATAGACTGTGCATAGACTTTGTATAATCTACTCACGCGAATAATTCGCGCTGCGTTTGGTGTGAACGCACCTTTATTGTTATGCAGATGTTCATTTTAATCTTTACTTTGTCTTGCCCATTTTTGTCAAATTTTTTAATTTACATGAGGTATGTTTTGGTGTATTGTATTGTTGTTTACATATACATGTAAAAACAACACATGCGCAACACATGTAAAAGTAAATATTAAAGGGGAACACCACCTAAACGAAGAATTCCAAAAAGGATATATCAATATTTGTGAATATGAGCTACTCTCTCTGCAAGCCAGAAACCAGAGAAGGAAGTCTCGAACGTGTGATAACATCCAGTATGAAGTGGAGCTGCTCCATAGACAATGAATAGGAGACTGATTGTCTTTCCTTTGTTAACACTCAAATGAGCGTAACTCTTTTCTCCTGATCTCAGTTGTGAAACAGAAAATGTAGCCATATACAACATTCCCCTGGATGCTCTGTGTCATCCATAACATCTTTCCCAATATAGTATCTATGAAGTAGTTCCAAATTTGGGTTTAAACCCTCTAGTATTGGATTTGGGAGATAATTGTTAATGTTAACTAATATTTTTGGACTGTCTTGGACCATAGGAATAACAGGAAGGAATTTTGCAAATGGGTGCAATTCCCCTTTAAGAGAGTATTCAAGCGACCTGCTGAAAGTGGATTAACATACACACAAACTTTATATATTTGCTCCATACATGTATGTGATAAAAACCTTCTTTTTCCTAAAGTGTGTTCCACATAAAGCCAGCAAATACAAACACAATACACAATGCTGTAAGATAGTAATATCACAGTACAAAACAACTCATGGAATGTACTGCAGTAGGCTTAACACATATACATGTTCACCAATATTAAAATGTTCTATCTTCACTGAAGTCATGGGTGTGTTTCTCAGTCTGAAATGACATCATGAATATTTAGATTAGCTGTTAAGAATTCAAATATTGGTGTTGTATTATAAAATCAGGTGATTAATGTTAGAACCTGTCAAGCAGCCTGTAATGAGGGAGCGCTCTAATGTCAATCGGAAAGCAATCATGGTTTGTTTGCTAACACAATTTCAACAGCTCTGAGGGTCACAGTTAGCCGACTGTCTGTCCTCCTGTCCGTCCTCACACACATGTATATTTGATTGATCTCATCACACGCTGTCAGACAGGCCACCGCCTCCTAAGATCCATCAGCTGCCTGTGATACTGAACACACACTCATGATGGGGCGACGGTCTCATAACTGGCTTCTTGCTTCCTCCAATTAAAGCCTGTGTTGATTCACAAGCATAGACAGAGCGTCGTTTACCAGCCTGACAACACATAACAGCACAGGTCAAAGTATGCAGCAAGGGCAGGTAGTGCAGCATCTGCTGTGTTGTGTCCCCCACATACACCACCGTATGTACAGACTGCATCCTCTACTACTGCACCAGGTCCATGTTAATGACTGTGATTTCATAAAGTGGACAGAGTAGACGCTGAAGTTTAGCTGAATTGCATTGCACTGGATGTGGCCTCTTTGTGAGTTTTGTATAAAGCGACTACATCGTGATTTCCCCCCCCCCTCCAGGTGCAGATCCAGTACAAGAAGGTTGATTTAAGCAAGGTGACGTCCAAATGTGGCTCAAAGGACAACATCAAACATAAGCCAGGTCGGACTTATTACTTCTATTCTCCTCTATTTCATGGTTCTATTTCAGCTCTCCTACTAACCTTCTTCTTTTGTATTTCTTTTTTTAATCTCAGGTGGAGGTGATGTGAAGATTGAGTGCCATAAGCTAAACATTAAAGCTAAGTCTAAGATTGGATCCATGGACAACGTGGGGCCAGGCAACGAGCAGACCAACGGACACAAGGTCAAACTCTCACAGTCACTCATTCTATCAGTTAACTTCTCTGGCTCTGCTGACTCACGGTGCATTTACTGGTCGACGCCACAAGATGGTGTGGTAGCATGAGATACTACACTATAAATAAAAGTGTGTGTGTGTGTGTGTGTGTCCGTCCCTGCCCTTGTGTGTCTATATTTGGCCACAGGAGGAGAAAGCAGAGGAGAAGACATCTTCACCCCAGAGTGGCGCTCCGACAACAGGACTGGCGGGTGTTGCTAAGGCAACGGCACCAGGAGGTGTTGGCAAGGAGAATGGGGTGAAGGAGGCCACACCCACTCCTTTCGGGGGAGACGGACTGAGGGAGCATAGCATAGACAAACGCATCACTGAGACAAGTGGGTGTAAACACACACACACACACACACACTATCATATATAGATATAAACTTTATTCATCCTCAGGGGGAAATTAGTTTGTATAAAGTTTCATATCTAAAAACATTGAAGTGCACGTCTGTGATTGTAGCCAACTGGCTCTGATTGGACAATCGCTGTTTAGGGGTTTAGCAAATACAGATACACGTGACGATAGGGATTGTGCGTGCATGCATGTGTATACCTGATCTCCGCTACGTGTCTGATGGAGAGTGGTGGTAAAAATAGCAGACGCTTTGCTACTAAATGAAACTGTGGAAAGACCTACAGACTGAAGATTAGCCGGTCTTAGTGGATAAAGTCATCTCTGGCACTGCAGCCGGCCTCCAGACTCCCTGAGTTCAGAGGGATGACAGACGATGTGGTTTCCAAACTTGGTCTAATTGATGGATGGCTGTAGTGCTAATACAATTAAAACAGGAATGGTTTATAATTTGGTCTATAATTCAGATGAACTTGGGTGCAGACTGTAGCAGCTTGTCAGTTAAAGTAACACACCATCTGGCTGGTAGAATTGAGACTCAGAAAGTTTCCTCCCTCGTCTCAGTATCACTTTTCTCTCCTTCTCTTAACTTTTTTTCGTTTTCCTTTCTCAATCCAATTTCTTCCCCCCAACAGATTGAGTCCCAGTGACCAGTAGATTTTGGCGGGACACGCATGGCGCTCGTCGACCGACCAACCAACCTACCACGGCGCAGTCACTTCCCTTTGGCCCCGCCCTTCATCTCGCCCACCGCAGCACCAAACTGACCGATCGCCTCTCTGTGTTTCTCTGGGGGTTTCGCCTGCCGGCTTCCTGCTACCAACCCCTGACCGTTGACCTCTCAACGGTTGACCTTTGGCCCCGCCTACCACAGAGAAGAGCACTTCCTGTTTGTCTGTGTTTCTTGGGGTTCCGCCAGCTTCTCGGCTGATAAAATTCCCTTGTAAGCACTGATTTAGAGGACTTAAACCCCAAATTTAACACCCCCACAATAAACCCACTATTGTAGTCAATGCTAACGGAAGTATATTGAACATAGCCAGTCTTAGAATATTTCCACCTATGAGTCTTATACTGTTTTAACACTCTGAGGCTGATCTATGGTCCCTCCTACAGGCCTTCAAAATTCAAAACCACTTTGATCTTCAAACCTTGTTAGCAGACCTTGCTAGCGCCCATTCTTAGTCCATGTCCACTTAGCCCCTGACCACACTAACCAGCTGAAGGCCTGGCAAGTCTGCTTTAAATCTACACATCTACAGTATCTACAGCAATGCACGTTGTCAAGTCAAACATTATCTCCCAATACATCTCTTACATCATTGCACCAGTTTGTCTCACCCAGATGTATGACAACAATGCTTCTTTATCTTCAGCAGTAGCAGCGATCAGCGCAGAGGACCGGGGCTTATGTGGAGTAGAGAGGATACTATTGGAGACGTTTGGAAACGGATCTGAAGGTGGGGTTCCAAATCAGTGCAGAAAGTCAGAGTTTAGGATGTCAGACGATTCCTGTTTTAGGTTTCAAGAAAAGATGCATTCAATGACAGTACAGTACAGAAATGTAGAGGCTATAACAAAGCAGACGGCTTTTGCCACAATTGGAAACATCATTTAATGATGTGATTAGTGCACGAGAATCATCAAGAGGCGAAAAGTGATGGGGCTGCTCTTACCTTGGCTCAAGAAGAATTTGGCACTGAACACAGGTATTTGATCTTGAAGTGGAATGAGTTGGGATCACAGTATTTAACCTTGAAGGGTCTGATCTTGAAAAGGACTACTCAACCCTTTAGAGTAAGTGTTAAACCTTGGAGTTCAACTGCTAGCTGCTGCACCTTTTAGTCAACATGAATGAGTCAATACACAGAATACTGAATGTTACTGCGGACAACATGACCCATCATGTCACACAGGCTGCTGGGTAAAGGCCTGGTCACGCCAACACATCAAATGGCGGGATTTTATCAATTTGTGACAATGGAATCGGCATGATCTGCGATTAAGGTCACGCGGTGTAAGTAAAACCATGCAAAATTCAGTCCTGGTCACGTGGTCGTAGCATAAGTCCACAAACTACTGTGGGTGTTACAGAAAAACAGACCAAAAATAAAGCACCGTTTAATGTGTAAGACTTACAAACCCCTTAACCTTTATTGATAAAAAAGCTCATACACTCTTATGTCCGACCATTTGCGTGGCATAAAGTTTGGGGGCACTTAACCCTTTAGTCTTCTCAATAAGACTATTTCTGAGGGGTTGAACCCAAACCTCCCATGTATCCTTCCGTCCCACAGTAGACTCTCCTGTGAGCGGCCCCAGCAGTCCCCCTGAGATGTGTGCAGCATTCACAGTTCACATATGGCTATCAGAGACAGACAGACAGACAGACAGTGCCCTCTTTCTCTTGCTCATGTGGTACTTCCTGGTCATGTGGTACACCCCCGGTGGAGAGGGGGTGGGGCTACAGAGCCACACCCTCTTTTGAGTCCTCCCACTAGCCGGTGCGTCTTAGAATCCTCTCTGTGAGACCCAAACACACACACCGACACACAAGCACAGATATATACAGGAAAGCACACACATGCTTGTTGGTGTGCATGCCCACGCACATACACACACACACAAACAAACAGAAATCAGCACATGTGCACACACGTTATAATACACACAAAAAAAGCACCCTGAAATAAAAAACGGCACGCTGTCCATAGAAGCATTTCTCTGTTAATGGAAGCAACTCTTTATCGTGTTTTTGGTGGTCTATGCTGATATCGTTACATTAATGATGATCTGTGTCGGTGTGCCGTCCCTCCCGTGGTCATTGTCTGACATCATCATCATGTGCTTGCCTCACCCCGCCTCCTTCTCGTCCGCTTCCTCGTCTCGTGGTTCACTCCGACTCTCTGACAGCAATACAGTGATCTTAGTCGGAACGCCTCCTGTTACACACGACACACACACACACACACACACACACGACAGAGACAGAGGACGACCACCGAAGTTGAAGGGTGTGAAGGGAGTTCACTTGCAGGACGGAGTGTCAATTAAAGGGGAATAATGTTACATTCATGGCAAGTCTGAAGTTGGCATTTTCTTCGCAACCTTTTAGTGTCTAATTAATTCACCAGAGACTGTCTAGTAGATCGAACCATCTCCAGTACCAAGCCACTTGAGGTCAGGTTTCAAGTCTCTAGCATATGTTTTACTCATTAGTAGTTCACATAGATTGAAGTAAATAGCTTTTTAAATGCATTTTAATTAAACATTTTTTCCAGCATTTTCTAGTTTTTTTGTTTTCTATAGGATAACACTGGATGTAAAAAAAAAATCCTAAAATTCTCAAAGGTAAAAAAAAAATTCTCTATCAATTATAAATAGTTTTACTACACTGGACAGGAGGGACTGCCCAGCTCCAAAATGCCATGAATGCAGCAGTATTTCAGCAACAGCAGAACCAAGAAGGAGCTGCGGAGACTGCAGCAGGGACCGTGCAGTGGTGTTGGAAGATGTCTATCTAGCGAACACATCTGGACTTGTAAAATAGAGTATAGCAGTGAATCATTTCAATTTAACAGTAGATAATACATTTGCCTGAAGTCATAGGGGATTAGTTTTTCTCTTTTTCCACAATTGTTAAATGTCTTAAATGATCTTGTGTGGAGAAGAAATTTAACTTTTTTTTTTGCCTGTTTGTATTGTTATAGGAAATCACTTACATTCAGTGCAATGCATTTTATGGAAACAACACTGTGATGTGACTTTGATTTACAGACCAGAAGCGTTGCGTCATGTGTCACGGCAGATAAAAAGGAGTGTAAGCGGCTGATGCTCACCGAGAGGTGCCCGTTCTACTGGCTGTAAGTCTATGCATGGTTCTGAGGACTGGTCTCTGTAACTATGTAACTGAGACGTGTTGGTGGGGCGCTGCCGTAGTTGTCAGATGTGTGAAGTGTTACTACTGCATCCATCCTGTAGAGAGCGCTGCTCAGCCTCTAGAACACTGATAGTCTGGCTCTGAGACTTAAAGGCCGACTGAGAAACCTTACATCACCATTAGAGAAACTTCAGGCCAGCTTCACGCTGTTCTCATTGATGATCTATATTATTGTATCTGGAATCACTTAATAACTCCAAAATCCTATTCAATATGTACAGTTCCCCTTAAAAAGTCTTGTGCACTTTGAACACAGTCTTGTTCATTTCTTGATGCACTGAAGTGATATAAAAGTTGCTTTGCTGTTTATTGCTCAAACATCGTCAGCAGTGTACTGTACATGTGTGCTTCTGGGAGCAAAGCAGTCTGTAAAGTTATGATAATCAAAGAGCAAGTGATCAAATAGTGAACAACAGAGAATAGGCAACTTAAAACACCGTTAAAGCATATTTAATAGTTCCTGTTCCCTCCAAATGGTCATGCCCATGAGTTGCCTGAAAGTGCATAAACATGTGAAAGCGATCATGTGAATCTGTCTTCGGAATAGAAGAACAAAAGGGATGAAAGCGCTTTGACAGGTATAGACAGAGGAACAAGTTGTAGTCTTAATGTGTGTTAGAGTTTGTTGCCGTATGACGGGATGACCTGGTGTTGTGCATGTTGAACGGCACATCGGTGCCCCCTTCGTCTGGGTCGGCTCAGTGGATTACAGTGGGACATTGGTCATCGATGGATTAACAATTAACTCTCCAGTCTGCCCTCATGTTGTTCCTGTCAACATTCACTGGTTATTACTTTCTGACCGAGCTACAAGTTGATAGTCAGCTAAAGGATGTTTTGAGAGGACTAGCATCAAAGACACCTCTTGCAGATCCTTTTGTCGTTGATTGAATCTTATTCCTTTGGTATACAGCAGGTAAACTGTGCTAAATTCAAAATTTAGAGCATTAAAATAGCAAAAACCTTGGTATATGTAAAGATATAGTGGAGTAATGTCTACCTGGGCAGAGACTGAAGTCACTTTTGTTCCAGTCAGCGTCCCACTGGCTAGCTAACGGCCGCCACTCTGAACTGCACTCATGAACCCACGAGGGTTGGGCCCGTTATGGCACGAAAATAAAGACATCAATCAATCAATATAATGCTTTTAAAGAAAAGCATCCAAAACCTTGAAATTCGTCCCTCGACCTGAAAAACAGGTGAGATGAAAAAGCTGCCCTTCAAATTAGATTTAAAAAAGATTTAAAGCATTGTTAGATTAGTTCACACAGGAAGTGAGTGACAGCTACTATTGATAGTAGAGAGTGATACAGACTGCTACATGCTATACATTCTTTTAATCCAGTTAAGGGTCAAATTTTCTTTGTAATTCAGTGGGATTAAAATGAAAGCATAGTAGATTAACGGGGTTATCTGTGCCTTTCTAAATTACACGGACAGGAAATGAGATGGTGCTGACTTAACAAAGGTCAACATCTTAAACCGCTGGACGCAGGGCGATAGATGACAGCGAATCGTCAGAAGATTTATTGTGACTTGACATTTGAAAGCGGATCGGTGTCAGTGTGTTTGTTAAGAGACCACGAACAGATGTACACAAGGAACATGGTCCTACACAAGAGAACGTTCATTTTTCAACTCTAAAATGTGCTGCTCAGTGCAAATATTGGCCACAACTCAAAATTTAAGGGATCCTTATGAAAAATGAATACCAGCAGAATCGATACATCATTATCAATTTTTTAAATAAATCAATATTGTTATATGCCAGAAAACTGTATTATGGCTCAGGCTGTATTTGACATGCTGTATGCTATAGCAATAGCACATGCAGCTGTCTGGGTCCTGTCTGGGCCCCCTCATCCCTTAAAGTTCACATTTATTATAATCATAGAGGATATGATTAGGCTTAAGACTAGATTTGTGGAATACAGTTAAGTTTGCAGCTTGGACAAAAGGTAATAACCAGATTCACTCTGTTTGTTCCCCACTTATATCACTTGAACACCACCTTCCACTAGTATCTCACACTGTCCCCTGTATATAGTCTCCACCATGTTTCTATCACTCCAGAATTAACTCAAAAAAATACAAAAAAAATACAAAAATCGTACTTCTTAACAGGGTGTTGTGGATGTTGACAGCTGAGCATTGACGTTCATAAGCCTGTTACCGTCAAGCTTAATAATATTATTATAAGAGAGGAAAAGTGTACTTTTTCTTTTGTTTCAGGGTCTTGCCTTTTTTTTCCCCCGTTAAGAAAAAGGGCTGCTGAAGTCTCAAGAATGTTTTTAAAAATGTATTAAAGGTGCAAGATGTACGAGTACGTGTATGAGGTTTGTCTCTGTTCTGTTTTTGGAAGATAGATCACATACGGAAAACACTATTTGCCCGGATTCTAAATCGACGGGCAGGAAGGGAGGCAGCGTGTGTGTCGGGTTTCATGCGACTTAAGGAGCATCAAAGAAAAACAAAAATCAAACCAAGTAAACCGCACTTCAGAATTGGTTGGTTCATTACAAACGGAAGGAAAGAACATTTCCGCTTTTGGGTTTTGGAAAGCACTGCTGTACATGCAACACCTGACACACACTGGTCGGCCCTTTCTCTCGCAGACCCCCCCTCCCCATTAGACTAACCAGACTTAGTCTTTTGGCTTGTGGTAGAATGTAATGTTGTGTATTTAGACAGCTCCTATATAGACACCACGACATACCTACCAACACGGGACTGAATTATGGGATGTCTCGGGGCCTAATTATCTTCTCGGCGTCGATAGCGAAGGCTGAAAACATTTTGGAAACGGAAATTGTTTAAAAAAAAAGTTTGAGCTTGAACTGTACCTTTTTTAAGAGCGACGGCGAATTGCCTGAAATGTAACTGGGAATAAAGGGTTAAAGAAGAAAAAAAGGGAGTGTTGGTAGATATGCACCTGGAGACGCCTAGCTGTGTCTCCCACCTACAGAGGCTTGTCAGCATCATAGCACTGAAAAGTTTTTTATCCCCTGTTAGTGTCCTCTGCCACGCATACAGCAGTCTGATTATCAAGGCGAGCACACTTTGTAGACGGCAGAAGTATTCATTTTATTTATAAGACGGGATTTGTTGGACTGTGATTTGTGTGACTTTTTTTTGTGTTCTCACTTGCTGTAAATCTTGGTCTTTGGTCAGCGGTATTAGCAACATGTTGAGATCTGTCACTACAACACGCAAAAAGAATGTGCTTTTCAGTGCCGTGAGTGGAGCCACTGTGGTGTGTGCTGTATTATTCTGAAGGGCACAACAGCATAGCAAGAGCATGCAGGAGACAAGAAACAATCTGCTGGTTGTTAGAGGCATCTGTCCTGTTAGATAGAGCTCACCCTCACCCCCCCCCCCTCAATTCTGAATATTTGGTATGAAAGAGATGTTCATTGTGATTCATTGTTAACCAGTGATGTGAATATTAATCATGAAATAAATAAAAAAAATGATGAGCAAAACATCCGCTAGTA